TAGGGGTGTTCAGAGTACATATATAGGGTTGTGCCCATCTTGAATTTTGACATGGAACCCTTTGACAATGACCTTTCCTATAACTAGATGCAGCCACACACCAAAATGGGAGTCAGCATATTTATCAAGTTATCTAGCTTACAAGGTTAACATATATACAGTATGGTCCAACTCACAAGATGGACTGGCATTTATGTTGGCAGCCATCTTGGATTTTGATGTGGCAGTTCAAAAAGGAACCATTTTCTTACACGTAGATGCACCGCAATAGAAGTTATGTTCGCTACATGCACCAATAGATGTTGCTTCTAATTTCTTCACTCTGCAGAGGGATAAAAATTAGCACAAACTCAAAACTAGGGAAAAAAATGGTCATTTTCAAGTTTGGGGTTTTTTGCAGGGCATCAAATGATGCAAAATATTTGAGAAGGGTTTATTTATGCAGTTCAGCTCTGGTCAGGTGGATTTTCTGGTTCACACTCCCATCTTTAGGTGCACACAGGAAGAAGAAAACAAACATCTGACGCTCAGATTTTCTTTTTTAGTGCGAGCATGACAAGATGCACAAGGACAGAACCAGAATTGAGACAAGCAGGCTCTGCCTTAAGTGTAGCAAGTAACAAGGAAAACACGTCAAGTTTTAAATTATTTATTTATTTATATATATTTATTTATTCATCTCAGTTTGGTTGATATTCTTTTTTAAATCATTGTTGTTGCACTTTAGTATTTTTGTACCCAACAGAAAATTAACATGAGAACAAAAACAAACAAAAAAAAAAACTGAACGGATAGATTAAAATCTTATAAAAGCAAAAAACAAAAACAGGGATAGCGAGCAGAGAGCTGGCTTGCTGGGAAGGAGAGAAACGGCAGAAGCCAGAGGTGGAAGAGCCGGGGCAGAAAAAAACAATTTAAAAGAGATAGAATTAAAAAAAAAAATAGTGAAAGCAGCTTGTTTTATAACTTCGTGCAGTTCTTTAAATTCCCTTAAGTGGTCCCTTCTTCTATACATCTGCCCCATCTCCACACACACAAACACAAGCCAGCCGAGTAAAGTTTCTTGTTACATCCTCCGTCTCCTCCAAAAAACACTCGCTCTTTTCTCTTCCACGCCTCTTCTGGGTCGGTGTAAACGGTGAGAAGAAACCAGGAAGTTGGACGAGAAAGAGAAAAGAACTGGAGCCGAAGGAGAACGAGCAGAACCCACTTCACTGCTTTGACCTGGACGTTCTCTTGTGCCTGAGAACATGCAGTTCCTCAGTCTGAATAAAGGTGGACTGTTGGTACAAAAGGAACTGCAGAGCTGTGTTTTTGTAAAGTACACCATGTGCAGGCGAATATTGTATACAGTAAGTCAACCGTGCAGCCATGGATTGTGATTTCTGACCTGTACAATCACGAGGGGAGAAGCAGCCATATTTGCTTCTTCATCCAGGCGGACTTTATGTCGAAGGAGCTGAAATAATTAACAAAAAAAATAAATAAAACACACAAGAATGGGGAGGTTCAGTCCTGTGCGGTGGTCCCGGGTCAGATGCAAACCGTTGCTGACTGATTTGTTCACCTCCTGAAGCAGGTAGGAGGTGCGTCCAGGTGTACCCAGCATGACCTTCGCCTCCTCCCAACTTCAGCTGGATGTAGATTTAAACAAAACAAGCAAAAAAAAAAAAAGGAAGGAAAAGGGGTAATAGTTGCTGTAGTTTCCTCCGTAGTTGTCAGAGGGGGCGGGGTTGTCCGTAAGGCGCCGTCTTATCAGAAGTTGTAGAAGAGAAAGAAAAGTTGGTCTGTCCGTCTCCACGTTTGTGACATTTAGAATGATATGTCAGCTATTTTAAAAGTTATTCCCTTGTTTTTGTTTTGGTTTTGAGTGCTGAGTCTCTGTAGCACCCAGAAGAGCCCAGACAAAGCCCAAAGCCCGACCCTGTATATCCTGCCAACAACTACCCCGCTAACAGAAAACAGGCCCAACATCAACAAGAATGACAGTCACAACAACATTGATTGAAATGATACTTTAGAAAGCAACACCAAGTCATTGCTCTTCTCTTATTCAAGTGTCTCTCAATATAATAATAATAATAAAATAATAAGAACAATCGTTTTGTACGACAGAGAGAGTGAGCGTCTTCTCTCTGTCCTCTTTTGGCTAGAAATCTCAAAAGATTCATAAAGCTAAAACAAAAATAAAAAACATTCAAAAATTACAAACAATACAAAAAAAAAAAAAGCCTCCTTGACATCTAAAAACAAAACCTGACATAAAAAGATTAGATACAGAAGATGTAATAAGCGTTCTATACATGGCATCACTGTACAAGGAAAGGAGGAAACGTCTGGTAAAACTACCCACAATGCAACACACAGTCACCAACGGGCGAAGAGGTGGGAGCACACACGGCGAGGAATAGAGGGAATACACTCGATGGCGTCGCAGATGTTTGGAGTTACATCCACGGAGTCAACGATGGGGCCGGTTTGAGTTGTCGTACGTGCACATCCAGCTCTGAGGAGCAAACTTCAAGGAGTTCATGAAAACGACTCAAATCCAGAATCAGAAACGTGGATTTGCAGCTAACGCTGTACTTCATTACAATATTAAAAACAAAGCATTAAGATTTTCAGTTTATGATCTCCCCGTCTCCTTCCTACACTATACTGCCAAAAGTACTACCAAAAGTATTCGCTCGTCTCCGTTCAAATGCATAGGAACTTGATCCCATTCTTGTTCTGTAGGATTCAGGAGGACTGTTTGCAGCTTCAACTCTACTAGGAAGGCTTTCCACAAGGTTTACGAGTGTTTGTGGGAATTTTGGGCCATTTTTCCAAAAACGCATTTGTGAGGTCAGATGTTGGACGAGAAGACCTGGCTCGCAGTCTCCACTCTAATTCGTCCCAAAGGACTTCTACTGGGTTGAGGTCAGGACTGTGTGTGGGACAGTCAAGTTCTTAAACACCAAACCTGCTCATCCATGACTTTGTGTCGGAGTGCAGTCATGATGCAACAGGAAGGGGCCATCCCCAAACTGTTCCCACAAAGTTGGGACCACGAAACTGTTCAAAAAGTCTAGAGTTCCTTTCACTGGAGTCAAGAAGCCGAGCCAAACTCCTGAACACCCACCCCAACCAAAGTTTACAATTGGCACAATGCAATCAGACAAGTATTATTCTGAACCCCAGACTCATCCAACAGATGTCACACATAGAACCACCCGATGCTTCGCACTGCACTCGGTGATGGAAGGCTCTAATGGAGCTGCTCGGCCATGGAGACCCGTTCCATGAAGCTCTCTACAACTGTTCTTGAGAGGCTACGTGAGGTTTGGAGATCTGCAGCTGTTGACTCTGCAGAACGTTAGCAACCTCTGTGCACTACGCACCTCAGCATCCACTGAGCTGGTTCTGAGAGTGACCCATTATCTCACAGATGTTTGTAGCAGTCTGCCTAGGTGCTTGACCTCATACAGCTGTGACCATGGAAGTGATGGAAATTCGATTATTTAGATTTAGGGGGGCGGCTGTGGCTGAGTGGTTAGATCAGTCGTCCTCCAATGTGAGTTGGGGGTTCGATTCCACCAGCAGCCACATTCTGAAGTGTCCCTGGGCAAGACACTCATTGCCTCCAATGTGTGTCCCACTGGTGTATGAATGTGATAAAGCTCTGATTAGTCTTTGTATAGATCTAGTAGAGTGCTGTATGAATGGGTAAATGAGGCACAGATTGTGTTGTAAAGAGTTTTGAGTGTCTTGACAAGATAGAAAGGTGTTATATAAGTACAGTCCATTTAGATGAGTGAGCGAATACTTTTGGTAATATAGTGTAGCTCGTATAGCGGAGTTGATTTCATGAACAGAAAACGCACTCTCTGGTCTGCACTCCGGTAAGAAGCTAGTTTACTCAAGGATAACGTCAACACACGTATAGTGCAAATAAAACGCGTACAACACTTTAAAGCTTGAATATCGAGAGTAAGCATTTAGTTTCAGATACTTGCTCAACATCCAGGTTCAAGAACGGAGGAGGGAGTTGAGCTGGATGTTTCGTCAAGTTTTGACTCGGGTGCATTCCCTCTATTTCGGAGCTGGAGAAGACGTGGAGGGCAGAGCGGTGAACAGCATGACATCTGGAAGGAACTGCTCAGAGCAGTGAAAACCGACAGGGGACAGCTAGAACCCAAAGTGCAGAATTAAGTAATCAAAGTACATTGTTGTCCTCCTTGAACTATTCTCCTTTAATTATTATATTTATAATAAAACATATTTTACAGAAAACAAGAGTAACCATATTGACTGTAATGCCTACATTAACTGTAAAAATTAACTTTAAATAAAATCAAACTCAAAATAATAAAAAAAAAAAAGAGCTGGTTTGTCCTGTGCGATGTTACGGCGCTCCATCTTTGGACAGAGAAACTTTGGTGACCGTTCGGCCCCAAAACGCCCGACAGCTGACGGACCGGGGCCACCGATCCGCTCCGGGGAACATCTGCTGCAGGACAGCAGGAGCTTTTTATCAACCAGGTACACACAGACACACAACACACAGACACACTCACTCCTAATGTAAATACTTTGGGTTTGCGGCAGCAGTGTGTGTGTGTGTGTGTTTGATTGTGTTGTTGGACTCCATTGACTGTATCAATGCACTAACCAGTGAGGCACGTAATGAATGTATGCCATACAGTTACGAGGGGGAAGAGGGGAGAGGTTAGGTCAGGACTGCAGGTGGGACAGGTTTGCGAGGAGAGAGTGGTGGGATTGGTGGAGCTGTAGACCCCCGGTCTACCCAAGATGGGAGGTGAGACGAGGAGACAACCTGCAGCGAACAATGCTGGGTGTCTGTGTAGAAAATGCTGGCACTTGGACCTTTGAACACCGAGGCCCCACCTGTGAACCCTCCCACCCTCTGAATGTCTACACCCCCCCTCTCCTGTGTGGACTGCCCTCCAAAGGGACAGATGAAGACAGACAGATGGACACAGAGCGCCCCCGCTTGGACAGAAAACGGTGGTTTAGCGTGATGCTTCTCAACTCAACACAACTCAGGGTGGCTGATATGGACCGACAAACGCAGGACCCCGTCCTACAGGGAGACAGAGAAGACACTTAGTTTAAAATCCTACAGCTGAACAAAACATGTATTTAACGGTCTTTGTCTTTACTGCGCTGCAAAAATTACTGGCTTGAAAACAAGATTTTTTTACTGGGAAAATTTTAGAGAAGAATTATTTAAAGCACAAAAGATTTTAAATGCTACATGCAGTACGCCAATGTCAGCCTTCACCGAGGGACTTTAACAGTGAATGTTTGTAGTTTTGGAGAGGAGTGTTTTTTCCCATAATAAACATCTTTACCATCTCAAATCCTAATTGGTTTCCATTTAAGAGAAATGATCCATTTTTAATGTACAGTATGACGACAATCTTTGTGTCAAAGTGTGTCTGTGTGTACCTGTTTTAGACCCCGGCCTGCTCCATGCTGTACTGCAGGTCAGGGTGCTTGTAGCTGAGGAGCATATCACTGGTGCAGGAGGAGGGGTAACAGGCTGTGGGGTGAAGCTCCCCTTCGACATCACACACTGAATGACAAACATGTCTTTTAATGGCATTGACAACAAAGGAAACAACTCTCACAATGCTACAGATCTCCTACAAACCTGACTCTTCCCGCTGGTGCAGCTGCTGGCTTCCTGTCAACGAAGTCTGGCTGAGAATATCCGACATGCGAGCAGAGCTTAGAGCCTTTCCAGCAAGGAGGCTCATGCTGGACATGGGATCAGCCTGGTCCTGTGCAGGAACATTTTAGATGAATACAGAGATAGAATCATTCTTCGGTAAATCCATTCATCCGTTCACTCATCCGTTCACTCATTCATTCATTCATTCATTCATTCATTCATTCATTCATTTGTGCCAACAGAAGCAAACAAATGCACCGGCATAGCAGATGAGCCAATAATGTATATTTGTGAAATATAAAGGTACGATTAATGACTTCAGTGTCGTAGCAAAAACTGGAGATTTCAACCTGTAAAACATCCCAGTATTGAACAGTACACTGAAAACAAATCAGAACTAATAAACCCATCAAACTATGTCCTGGTAGTCCATGAATAGAATCATGACAAAACTGAGCTTTCTACTGAGAAAGATTCTGAACATTTAATAAAACTTATAGCTGAATTAATGACACACATATCTATCATATCCATCCATCCATCCATCCATTATCTTTACCCGTTTATTCCATTTTGGGTCACGGGGGTCGCTGGTGCCCATGTCCAGCAATCACTGTGCGAGTGGGCGGGGTACACTCTGGACAGGTCGCAAGTCCATCACAGGGACACATAGAGACAAACGAGACAACCATTCACTCTCTCACTCACACCTAGGGACAATTTAGTTACCAATCAGCCTAACATGCATGTTTTTGGTCTGTGGGAGGAAACCAGAGTACCCGGAGAAAACCCACGCATGCACGGAGAGAACATGCAAACTCCACCCAGAAGGCACCTGGACCGGGGTTTGAACCAGGGACCTGTTCGCTGAGAGGCAGCAGCTCTACCAGTTGCGCCACCGTGCTGCCCTATCATATTATATATATATATATATATATATATATATATATATATATATATATATGAGTGTATATAAACATGCATAAATACATACATACTTTCAGAATCGGCAGAGTATCAAATACTTATTTTCCACACTTTGTATACAGAACCATTCCAAAAAATTAGAATATCACGGAAAAGTTGTTAACTTTCATAATTCCATTCAAAAAGTTAATCTTTAATAGATGATAGATTCAGGGCCCACAATTTAAACAATTTCAAGCATCTATTTGTTTACTTTTACATAATTTGGGATTCCAGCTCATGAAACCCACAAAAACAGGATTTCAAAAAATCTGAATACTGTGAAGACATCAGCCCACACTACTACTCAGTTTTTGCAGAAAAAAAAAGAAATTAGGATCACAACAAATCAGTCAAAATATGGTCTTTTCAAAACGATATGTCAATCTTCAATACTTGGTTGGGAATCCCTTTGCTTTAATCAATGCCTCGATGTGACGTGGCATTGACTGGGAGTTATGGAAGCCCAGATTTCCTTGAATCCTTGCTGTCAGCTCTTCTTTGTTGTTGGGTCTGGTGCCCCTCATTTTCCTCTTGAGAATACCTCATAGATTCTCAATGGGGTTTAGGTTCGGCGAGTTGGCTGGCCAGTCAAGCGCTGTGGCATGGGCATCAAAACAGGTTTTGGTGTCTCTGGTGGCATGGGCAGGGGCCAGGTCCTGCTGTAAGATGAAACCTGCATCTCCATACAGATCCTCAGCAGAAGGAATCAAGAAGTCCTCTTAAACCTGCACCGGACATTACTCCCCAAATCATGACTGACTGTGGATATTTCACACTGGATCTCAAGCAGTATGGGCTCTGTTCCTCGCCCTTCTTCCTCCAAACCCTTGGACCTTGATTTCCAAATGAAAGGCACCCTTTACTTTCATCGAAAAAGAGGACCGAGGAACCCGACAGTTTTAGCCCATCTCCCCGGATGTGTCTGAATGTGGTGGTTTTTGAAGCTGTGACTCCCGCCTCATTCCACTCATTCTGGATCTCTGCCAGATTCTGGACTTTTCTCTGTTTGATAATCCGCTGAAGCCCACGATCATCTATTTTGCTGGTGCATCTTCTCCTGCCACATTTTGCCCTTCCACTACTTTCCATTGATATGCTTGGACACAGCACTCTGTGAACAGCCAGCCTCCTTAACTATGAACTTTTGTGGCTTACCCATCCTATGGAGGGTATCATTGATGGTCTTCTGGCCAGTTATGTCTGCAGTCTTCCCCATATTGAACTGAACTGAGACAACTGAACCAAACTGAAGCAATTTAATGACACCTGGGGAAACCTGTGCAGGTGCTTTGAGTTTAGTAGATGATTAGTGTGTCACACTCAGTTTAAAACATTCATGCATGTTTTTTTAAATATAATTTATTTGCATTTTATTGCATGAAATAATTATTTGATACAATAAAAAAACAGAACCTAATATTTGGTACAGAAACTTTTGTTTGCAGTTACAGAGGTCAGACGTTTCCTTTAGTTCTTGACAAAGTTTCCACACACAGCAGAAGGGATTTTGGTCCACTCCTCCAGACAGATTTTCTCCAGATCCTTCAGGTTTTGGGGCTGACGCTGGGCAACATTGAGTTTCTGCTCCCTCTAGATTTTCTGTTGGGTTCAGGTCTGGAGACTGGTTAGGCCACTCCAGGACCTTGAAATGCTTCTTACAAAGCCACTCCTTAGTTGCCCTGGTTGTGTTTCAGGTCATCGTCATGTTGAAGACCCAGCCACAACTCATCTTCAATGCTCTTACTAAGGGAAGGAGGTTGTTGGCTAAAATCTCACGACACATGACCCCATCCATCCTCCCTTCAATACAGTGCAGTCGTCCTGTCCCCTTTGCAAAAAAGCAGCCCCAAAGTATGATGTTTCCACCCCCATGCTTCATGATTGGGACAGTGTTCTTGGGGTTGTACTCATCCTTCTTCTTCCTCCAAACACAACGAGTGGAGTTGATGCAAAAAAGCTCTACGTAGATTTCATCTGACCACATGACCTTCTCCCATGCCTCATCTGGATAATCCAGATGGTCAATGGTGAACTTCAAACAGGTCTGGACATGAGCTGGCATGAGCAGGGGGACCTTGTGTGTCCTGCAGGATCTTAAACCATGACAGTGTATAGTGTGTTACTAATGGTCCCAGCTCTCTTCAGGTCGTTGATCAGGTTCTCCTGTGTAGTTCTGGGTTGATTCCTGACCTTTCTCAGAATCATCCTTACTCCACAAAGCGAGATCTTGCATGGAGCCCCAGCCCGAGAAAGACTGAGTCATCTTGTGTTTCTTCCATTTTCTAACAATTGCACCAACAGTTGTTGCCTTCTCACCAATCTGCTTGGCTGGTGTCCTGTAGCCCATCTCAGCCTTGTGCAGGTCTACAATTTAGTCCCTGGTGTCCTTAGACAGCTCTTTGGTCGTCGTCATAGTGGAGAGGTTGGAGTGTGATTGGTTGAGTGTGAGGACAGGTGCCTTTTATAGATGTAACAAGTTCAAACAGGTGCATTTAATACAGGTAATGAGTGCAGAAAAGGAGGGCGACTTAAAGAAAAACTAACAGGTCTGTGAGAGCCAGAGTTCTTGCAGGTTAGCTGATGATCAAATACTTATTTCATGTAGTAAAATGCAAATTAATTATTTTTAAAAGTCAAACAATGTGATTTTCTGGATTTTTGTCTTAGATTCTGTCTCTCACAGTTGAAGCGTATCTACGATAAAAATTACAGACCTCTCCAATCATTGTAGATGGGAAAACTTGCAAAATCAGCCATGTGTCAAATACTTACACCCCCCCCCCCCCCCCGAAACACACACACGTATGTATATATTTATTATATTTTCTGTTGGATTATCATAAATCAACTGCAGCTAAGCACTCTGTCTTTAACTTAAAACTGTCAGGTAAAAACATTCCTGCTTGTTGCTTGTTGGTCACGGTGTTTTTAGAGTGGGGTTCAGGTTAGACCAGGAGTGGGCAATTATTTTTTCCATGGGGCCACATGAGAAACAACAAATATTGTGGAGGGCTGGCACAAATGACTTTTTCATTCAACCTTTATTTAGACAGGTAAATCCCATTGAGCCTCGAGGACTCATTTACAAGAGAGACCTGATTTCAACTTAACTCAATACTGCATAATAATAGTATTTCATTATTAAAAGCAGTACATAGCACTGTTTTAACAAGCTGGTAAGAGTATTTGTTATGATTAAGCAACAAAAAAGCGAGGTTTCCTTAAAAAAATGTCATTTATTCAATTAAATTTCCCAGTACAATGGTAAACTGTTAAAATTTTTACCATTTGTGACGTTATATTAGTGATCATTTTCAGTCACATTCACCCCAAAACTAATTTTGAGTTTTATATACTGCTGGAAAAAGTTCTTAGCTTTCTAAATATATCACAATATTGTCTTTGTACTCCAAATATTATGAAAAATCATATAATAGTGATCATCACTGAACTGTGATTTCTAGTCCCGGTTCTTTACGTGCCTACATTTGTAGTCTAAACATCTCATTTGGTGTTTATCAGTTCTTTTTTTCTTGTTTAGTGAGAGAAATCTAGTCTCTGTTGGGCTTTAACGGAAATGTTAAAGTCAGGTTGAAGGTCTGAGGTGGAGATGTGAAGCAAAGCTGACATCATCAGTGAGAGAGGATCTATATCTGGATTTGGTTAACTTCATTTGTTTACATATGTATTTTGTAATTCCCCTTATGGGGGCCGGTGAGAGTCAACCAAAGGGCCGCATGTGGCCCTGGGGCCGTACAATGCCCAGGTCTGGGTTAGACGGTATTCAGACCGTCACTCTTATGCAGATAAAGAGGTCCAGACCACCTCTGAAGAGTGGTCTGGCCCTGGTCTAATGAAATAAAAACGGGTTTTGGAACTCGTTGTCTGAGAAAATAAAGACTCAGGAGGCAGGAGGTGGAACACCTGGAGAGCTGGTGCAGGAAGAGCAACCTTCACATCAATGTCAAGAAGATGTAGGAGATGGTTGTGGACTTCAAACAGAGCAAACACACCTACCCCCTTGAACACAGGAGGATCTGCGGTGGAAGTGGTCTCCAGCTACAAGTAATGACAACCTCAGTTGGGGCAACACCACCACCAGCCTGATCAAGAAAGCTCATCAGAGACTCTACTTCCTCAGGTGGCTGAGGCAAGCTGGTCTGGGAAGCTCAGTCCTCACCTCCTTCTACAGGTGTGCAGTGGAGAGCATCCTGTGCTCCAGCATCAACGTGCGACATGAAGGCTGCACGACATGAAGGCTGCACAGAAGTCTGTTGTAGTCAGCCTCCCCACCAAAACATACATCTACACCTCGAGATGTAGGAAGAGGGTCACCTGCATCATGAAGGACCTCACTCACCCAGCACACACACTTTTTGCCCCGCTCCCCTCAGGAAGGAGGTTGAGGAGCATTAAGTGTAGAACCACAAGACTGAGGAACAGCTTCTACCCTGAAGCTGTTAAGACTCATGAATCTCTAACTAGAATAATCACTGTGAAAAAATCACATCATGTTGCTGCTGATCTGTTTCATGTTGCTGCTGATCTGTTTCATGTTGCTGTGTTCATTCATGCTCATCTGCTCACACAGACTCGTGTTGGTGCTGCTGTTCGGCATATAGTTTTTGTACTATTAGTGCTTAGTGTGTTTTTAGTTAACATTTTTCTTAGATCTTACTACTGTTTTTCTTTTACAATTTATACTTTTGCTGGATGTAACTGGGATGCTGTGTACACAATTTCGTTCCATCTCATGTTCCACATGTGATGCGTATGACAAATAAAGAACCTTGAAAATACAGCCCGAGTATCTGATCTACTTGAACCAAGATCAAATATACAAATGGCTTCCAAAGCCCACCTGGAGTGCACGGAGCAGTCTGTGTTAACCAGCAGGCCATTTTCACTCACATAGGCATCATCGCAGGTCTGGATGGTGTGGTGGCGCTGCAGCTGTCCTCTAGATCTATACGCCTCACTTTGGGGTCCTCGTGGATAGCCATTGTGATCAGGCACTTCCATGGCCTGTCCTTGGGGCCTGCACTCTACATGCTCAGACTCTGAATGAAAAGGTTTGATAAAGAAAAACATTTAAAAAAAATAAATAAAATAAGATAATAAACTGCACTGAAATTACCCGTTTTTAATTTAGGATGGCAACAAATAAATTTAAATAAATATATTTCCCTCATGAAAGAATATACCAGCAGATTTTAAACAGGAGTTACCTCGGGCAGCTGAAGCACTCCTAACGTAGCCAGCGTGCCTGTGTGTAGGGGAGTTATATGGGGGGGTTCCTCCACGGGGGGGCCCCAGAAGCTCATGACCTTCTGCCTTGGCCAGCAGACCTTCATGAGGGTGGTGATATTCAGCTGGCACCTCGTCCTCTTCCATGCTCTCGGAGTGAGGTAAGGGAGGACACGGCACCTGGGGCGTGTGCTGCTGCGGAACCTCTGGAGGTCGGATTTGGAGGAGGTGGTGGTAGTGCTGCCCCCCAGAGGCACCTTGGGGCAAAGGTGGCTCCAGGCCGTCTCCTTGGTTCAGCTGGCGGAGGAGCAGCATATCTCCAAACTCTTGTGGCGCACCGCCGGGTGGTGTTTGGGCCGCTGCACATGGCCGGGGATTATGTCTCTTTAAGAGGGCTGCCAAGTCTTGGGGGGGCAACCTGGGGTCAGCGTGGCCTGTTAAAGAGTGGCGAGGAGACAGTAGGCCCTGCAGGGTGGGGGTGACGTGCTGCTGCGGGGGGCGGTAGTCCAAAGGAGTTGGGGACAGCAGGGCCTGCTGTAAAGTGGAGGGGGCCCCGTAGCTGCTCCCCACGCTTTGGTAACCCTCCAGGCCAGGGACTTTGAGGGAGGCTCCCTGCATGTAGGGGTTGTAGGAGCCGACCACTCCTGAGGCTCCTCGAGTGGCAGAGTCGCCAGAAAAAAGGTGGGGGTTGAACTGTGTTTGGTCGTAGCCGGATGTGAAGCGGCCCAGGCTGCGACTGAAGAGGAAGGAGGGCACAGTTAGATCCTAAAACCACAATGTTTAAAATATTATTTTATCTCTCAACAGCCTAAAAAATACCAACACACAAACTAACAAACACTCGAGTCTGGCCAGAGTTCAAGTTTTCACTGAGACGTGCAGAAACACAAAATAAGTTTAAAACTGTTCGTCTTTCAGTGAAGACACACCTGGCTGTAAAACACAGCTGATGGGGTCACAAAGGTCACGGGTACTCCTAATGCACCTCACTCTGATCAGAAACACTCACCCAGACACACAGACGTGGAGAACTGGTTGAAGATGACATCGTCGTAATGATGATGAACAGTTTACCTTAATTCTCAAAACTGGTAACAGACACCGTGCTTATTCTTAGATCTGACCCCATATGTCCATATTTTAAAACAATAAGCATAAAAAACTACTTTGTTCCAAGCAACAGCATATAGACTCAAAATTTAAATGGATTTTTTTGAGAAAGCAAGTCAACATCAAAAACATACAATAAACAATAGATAACATATCCTGGTAATAAAAGACGAAACAGCATGCACACGTCTGACGTGCCTGTGAGACAAAGTTAAGGGAAAATTATAAAACCGAAGGAGAAGCTGCTTTGAATGTCCGTTGGTAGTGTTGACATAAGGGCAGCTTGTTGGAGGGGGTCACCTGTGCGTCTCGGCGTTGTCCGCGCTGAGCTGCTTCCCGAGGACCCTGTGTGTCCCCGGCGTGGACAGGAAGTTGCCAGGTCTCTGCACCCCGCCTCCCAGTTCCACCTCCTGCACCTGTATGGTCACCTGCACATCCAACAAGAAACCACATAAAATACCTGCACACGCCGTCATTTCCTGTTTGATGAGATCTGATTGGCTGTTGCAGTCACCTGCTGCTGCTGGGGTACACCTGGCGCCAACGGGACGGCGGGCCGAGCAGACGCCGATTGCGGATTGTTTGGCATGGGGACTCGAGGCAGGCTGGTGGGAGGTGGGCTGCCACTTTGCGCCTGGTACATGGCAGGAGCGCCATGCTGGTACGGTACTGATGACTGCCCCCCTGCAGGAGGAAAGGACTGGTGAAGGCCTCTGCAGACCGACATCAACAGATTTCTCCACTCAGGTGAATTAAAACCCAAGAGGTTTACTGCGAACACGATCAAAACTTGGCACAAAGTGAGTCATGAACTCTTCTAATAAAATCTTTTATTGCACAACTTGTCCAAAAATTATGTGTTTGATCCCGTTTAATAATACTGATTTAAAAACCATTATGTCAAGGCCATTGTCACCAGGGCTTCAACAGACTATTCGAGTAATCGACACCTCAATTCCTAGGACATCTATCAAGTTTTTAAATTTCAAGTCGAGTATTCACAGTGATGTCATTACGTCATTGCGTCACGTGTCATGTGATCCACACCGGGCGCGGGTTACAAAATGGATTCCTCCAAGCAGACAGATGGAGCGGAGCAGGCCCAGTTTTGGCAAACTGGTAGAAATGCATCAGTAGTCTGGAAATATTTCACTAAGATGAATCTTCCGGTTCAACTACCATAAGGAAACAGAAAATTAATCAACTTCCTGACTGTTTGGAGCTCGTTGTGAACCTGTGTTGCACCATATTCTGTGACCACCGTATATTGTGACCGTAGCGGTGGTGTTGCATGCACTGTTGCAGGTCACAGAATATGTTGTAACACCAGGTCCAATCGACTGAACCAGAACCAGCTTCCTCTGACCTTGTTTCACAAACTAAAAGCAAAAAATATTAATCTCTAAACCTATTAAAAACCTATAAACATATTAATCTCTAAAACTAAACCTAATGCGCAGCACTGCAGGTGGTGGTGCAGGGTGGTCGTCTGCCCCACTGTTTTTAGTTTTGTTTTTGACGTGCTGCACGTTTCTTTCACTTTTTCAGCTTAATAATAATAATAACCAATAGTTTTGGTTTTCCTGTGACTTATTTGCAGTATGATAAATGGTAGGAGCATAATATACGCTTCCAATGTTTTGTTGGTCCTTTTTTTAGTTAATAATGACTTTTTTTTGCAATTTAATTAATTTTTTTTGCATTTTTAGATCCTATGATGTCATCAAGTACTTGAGTTTTATTATGTAATGTCGAGTTTTAAAATGGTGTAGTCGTTCAACCCCTAATTGTCACAAGTAACTGTGTTCTTGCTGTTTAAAGTATTTACTCACCTAGTTTTGATGTTTGCACATTTTCATCCAGTCAGCTAAAGTTTTGCCTTCTCATGTTTTATTCAATATAAAATAATTAACATGTCAATGTATATGCACAGAAAAATAAAAACAGAAATGAATATAATCAAGAATCTTTAGATCCTTAATGCATCCAGTGGAATAACAGGTTTTAATTAGTCCGGGGTGTAACTGCTGATGAACAATAGACGTGAGGCTAAAATGGAACTGGACATTTAAGGCGGAGGTGTTGATCATCTGATTATTAGCAACAGCCACATTTTTTTTGCTTAGTCACTGCACCTACACCAGTTTGGGCAAAGAAAGCCGTGCGGCTGGGTTGTTACTAACCGTGCCCTTGCATGATGCCTGCAGAACCAGGCGGAGAACTCTGATTGGGCTGTCTGAAGAGGTGGTTGCTGGGATGTGTTGGCGGAGGGCTGGAGGGCTGGATACGCAACCTGAGGGAGGACGGGACAGAGAGGAGAGGTAGGATGGTGATGTAACACCTCAGTCAATATCGCTGCACCACCAGTTCATTGTTCACTGTTCAAGAGCTGGTGAGTAACGTGTGTGCGTGTTCACCTCTGGAGCTGGTGGGTTAAGTGACTGGGCTGGCTCTCTCCATGGCCTAAAGACAGACCCTGCAGGAAAAGAAAACATTTCACTCAAAGCATCAAAACATAAATCTGACTTTAAGTACAGTTTGAAACACAGACGTGTTTAAATAGAAGGCCCAGGCCTCCCCAGCTAAAATGATCTGTAATTAAACTGGTTAAATGACGTTTAAAAAGAATTAAGATAAAAGAACAGGAGAAACTGTTTACAAAGATGGCCGACGTCAATCACTGAAGCTTTCTGGTCATCTTACGGGATGGAACGCCACCTTCATTTTGTTTTCTTTTTACAATTTCATTTAAATTCCAAATATTTGGTAGATGACAGGTGGTTAGCTGGTAATTCTCTTGCTTTAGTAGAACTATGAAGCTGCAGGTAGATCTAAGAATGGACAGTGATATTCAAGTCTATACGTTCAAGTATATGCAAACTTCTGCTTTCAACTGTATGTAATTAATGTATATCAGGGGTCTGCAACCTGCGGCTCTGAAGCCAAACGTGGCTCTTTGGTTCCTTCGCAGCGGCAAAAGAAGAAAAAAAAAAGGATTTGTTTAACTGTTTTCCTGTCGTTTCCTTTGCTGGAACATGCACAAGGTGTAAAACTTACTCACTTTAACTTTATTTCTATACTTAATTTTTCCACAAGAAAAAATACATAGGTCTGCATAGTTCAGTTATTAAAAAAACTACCCCCCCCCCCCCCCCCCCACCCCCACACACACACACAAGAACCTGGTCTTTTCACTTGTCTTAAATTGTAAAAATCTAAATTATTAGATATTTTTTAGCTTTGTAATGTCAACCCTAATGGCCACAACAGCCCCTCCAACAAACCTAAATTGGTCCACGGGCCACCAGTTGATAATCACAGCAGGTTGTTGCGGCTCTGATCACTTTTAATTTAGTGAACGAAGCTGTAAAATGGCTCTTTTGATCGTAAAGGTTGCAGACTCCTGATATATGTAATTGGCTATAATTAATTATTTTACTTGCAGTATTTATTTACAATTCATGGTACAAAGCACCACAAACCTTTACTGACTCCTCCAAAAAAGTAAACTTTTGGATAATCACTCAAAAATCTTGGCTAACTGTGTGTTTATAAAGAAAATAATTGCAGTTGATTAATTCATGTATAGAGGTAAATTGGACACATTTTATTATTATTATTATTATTATTATATGCTTTTGTTTATAAGAATACACTAAAATCTAAAAAAGTTAAATCTGGTCCTCTGGACATTCAAAAAAAACAAAACAAAGCAAATCAACAAAATAATGTAGAAACGTTTCGTCTCTCATCCAAGAGACTTCCTCAGTCTGAGGTGCTGTATTCAGCTCCGTCTCTTAAATAGTACCTTCTCAGAGTGGATCAACCAGTTTGCTGCTGACAACCAAAACCAGCTGATCACATGCTCAAGAAGGACCATCAGCCTAACAATGGGTCATTAGCACACTGATGGCTGTTTACTGTTCACAGAGGGCTGAGTGATACTAGCAATCACAGCATTGTAAGAGGGGGACAGTTGAACCCGGAGGTCTCCACCCCTGTTTAACGATGGACGATTTCTTTTCACAAAGATGGCCTCCTTTACTCCTCTCTCAAACCATCGTTCCTCTCTGTCCAGGATGTGAACATCTTCATCCCTGAAAGAGTGACCGCTGGCCTGGAGATGAGTGTAGACCGCAGAGTCCTGGCCTGATGATGTTGATCTTCTGTGCTGGGCCATCCTTTTGGCCAGTGACTGTTTAGTTTCCCCGCTGTGATCAGTCCTACATCGGTTGTGGTTTTGGTTGTCAGCAGCAAACTGGTTGATCCACTCTGAGAAGGTGCTATGTAAGAGACTGAGCTGAAAACAGCACCTCAGACTGAGGAAGTCTCTCGGATGAGAGACGAAACGTTTCTACATTTTTTTGTTGATTTGCTTTGTTTTGTTTTTTTGAATGTCCAGAGGACCAGATTTAACTTTTTTAGATTTTTCTACCTGGATTATTGAGCATGCATCAGGAAATACACTAAAATGCATTTTCCAAGCACAAGAAAATAAAAAAACAGACTCATCAAATCAAAGGAATTGAATGTTGTGTTTTTTTTTAATCAAGGTTAATGTTCATGTAGCTTTTTATGTTTTGGATCTACAGCGATTTAGAAATTCTTCTCCACTAAAATTAGAATAATTTCATCCTTTCACCAAAAAAGTTTTTTTTATTTTATTTTTTTTATATCTTGGATTCAAGCAAAGATTCACATCAGCAGTCTGTGCAGACTTAACTCTTAAACTAAAGGTCTAAACTTACAGAGTAAAAGCTAAAGTCAACCAGACTTAGAGAAACACATCCAAGCTCCTTTGTAATCTATATAAAGCAACAGGAAACATGCACATGATTTAGATTCAATGACTGAAGGAACTACATTTCTGAGGTAAAGCTGAGGGGTTTTATGAGACTATGTACTGCCAAACTCAGCTTTATTTAACTCTGAACAAATGCAATAATAAATTTTGATCCCATTCTGTCTACACTGTTTAAAGGATGTAGGATGACACCATGATATTTAAAAAAGAAAAAAAAAAATGTTTAAAAACAGCTTAAAATGCTGCATACTGTCACTCTTTGTGCTTCGCTGTCAGACTGTGAGTCAGATCAAGACCAGATGTTTGTGTCTCAGGATAGTAACAGTAGTCAGGTACACAATGGCCTGCAGCAACAAGAAAAACACAGCCACCCTTCTTCTAATGGAAAAATAGTTTGGAGTCAAAAGACAAATCTTGCATATGAAACCAAACTATGACACATAAAAACCAGCATTTACTTTCTCGTGACTCAATGTAATGTGCGAATAATGTGAGCAGAAGGTGTGAAGATGTGATGCTGAAAAATGGCACAGAACACAATATTACACAATATTTATGCCATTTTATACTACTAGTGCTTAGTGTATTTTTATTAACGTTTTTCTTAGTTCACATCTTAGATCTTAATACGTTTGTTGGATGTAACTGGGACCCTGTGTACACAATTTTGTTCCACCACAAATGACAAATAAAGAACCATGAATCCTTGAATATTAAAAGGTACAACGTCATGAAGACCAGTCAATCAATCAGACGGGTGATGTACGCTTCATTTAAATATTTTAGGACAAATTTGTGAATGGCTGCCAACTACCCAGTAATGTTTACTCACAGAAACAGTTGGAGTGACTGAAAATGGGTCAATAATGTGACGGCCATGGATAAGACGTTTGGGATGAACAAGTCAGATGAACTTAACGTAATAATAAATACAGTGGTCCCTCGCTACTTCGCGGTTTGACTTTTACGGACTCGCTCTTTTGCGTTTTTTTTAAGACTGAACACGACACACGGCATGGATTGTTTATTAAAAATACATTATTTTAAATGATTTAGCACCTGTGTGCAGCCCACAGGCGCAGGGAGAAGCTCCCTCCTGCAGCTGATCAGCTGATTTCCTTCTCTGCCATATTTCTCCTGCTGCATCAGCTTTTGCTGTCCAGATGCACCAATCGACTTTTGTCTTCCAACTTAAAACTCAAAGTATGTCACATCATAAAATCATCATAATCACAGTGTTAAAAGTTATTTTTATTATTTTAGAACTTCTATGTTCAGTTGTTTCAGTGTAATTGATCAAGAAGAACATTTCTGCTCCGTGCTGCAGAGCTGCGTGAAGGGTTAACCCTTTGATGTCCTGCTGCACTTCTCTTCTATAAAATTTAAATTTTGTAATATTTTAAATATTGTTTATGTGAAATATTACAGCATTTCAATTTAAATTGTTTACTTACACAGAAGGTGGGAGACTGAGTGAAACTTGAATTTGGACTACTGTATCCTTACTTCAGTTTTTCACTTATCTCAGGGGGCGTGGTTCTCTAAACCCCGTGATAAACGAGGGACTACTGTATTTTTGCATCAGTTCAGACATGTGCTTTGGTTACTTTGAGCGTGTACCCTAAATACAGAATTGCATATCTGGAAAATTGCTAAAAGTCAAACTGTACTAATGGATACAGCATACTTTCCGGTCTACAAGACGATACTTTTTTCAAAAGCTTTGAACCCCGTGGCTTATACAATACTGCAGCTAATTCATGGGTGATTTTTTTTTTCTTTTTTAACAAACTAACGAGCTTCCTGCCACCAAACACATTTAGCCTCGTCACACTCGGGGTGCTCACATAGCTGCCCAATACACGTCTCTCTTGGGGGGTGGGTCCTCATAACTTAATGAGACTACCTGTATAAATAAAGGTAAACATTTTTTGTTTATTTAAATTAAACCTGACCAATGAAATTACCAAACAGGTCACAGTCAAACCAATGAAACGGTGAGGGGATAGGATCCCCTGCATGTGCAGCGCATGTGAGTCTCACACGCTCACAGAGCAAGTTTAGCTCTGCGGAGGTCAACCTGAAGATAGCGATCAACGACTTCCTGGTAGGATACTGTATTTTTTTTAACCAGCTGTGTTACAGGCAGTGTTCAGAAAAAAACACACTGTACATATTAGTGTGTTACCAGCACATATTGTAGCATTCTGTATTGTAGATTTAAATTGTTGTTGTTGTTTTTTCAGGCAAATTGATGCACTTTAAGTTGTTTCTGTTACAGACTAAAAAAAAACAATGTTAATAAAGTTATTATTCGTTGTAAGTTGATCTAGATTATTTTTTTCTTTAATCTTAATAAAGACACAATGTTATGCAAAGGCGTGCTCATAATAATTTTATAGATAAATGATACTATTTACAGTCGTGGCAGAGGGGAGTGCAAAATGTTTACATCTTCCTGGGGGGGGGGGGGGGGGGGGGAACAGAAAATAATTGAGAAGCAGTGCAGTAGAGTAACCATGAGTGAGGGAGGTAGTTGTCATGAAGACCTGCGGGGTTCACTCTGTCTGTGTTGAACAGTAAAATAAAGTCTATGAAACACCATCCGGTGGTTGATTCTTGATCTACAAGAGCTGTATGTCTCTCTCAGTAGCTGTGCGCTGCCACTCATGTTAAAACGTGAACACCCATGGTTTATACACAAGGGCGGTTTATATATGTACTAAATTGGTATTTTTATTTCCCCTTCTAAATTTAGTGTGCACGGCTTATAGCCCTGCGCTCTGTCCGGAAATTACGGTAGTTCAGAATACACTTCATAAATCTTATGTTTCAGCTTGCAATGAGCACCTTTAAGCTATCCAGTTGCATTTTGTGACTTGACCAACTTTCTGAAAGCTTTAGATACCTGGATTTGCTGGTGGAGGATTTGTTGCTCTTGCTGGTAAAGGATGTGTTGCTGCTGAGTGTGCTCGAGGAAGCGTTCATCCTGTTGGGCGGCATACTTTTTCTGAAGCTGCTCACACTCCTAATGCAAACACAGACAAGCAACATGGACAATGGAAAAGCAAACACAGAAAGTGATTACGCTGAAAAAACTTAAAGAAAACAAGTTAACACATACAATAGAACGCCTAAAATTTGTAAGAGATCATCCATCTTACTAATAGTTGCTGCAAAAAGTTTACTCTGCTTTGTGCAAGTATCTGTAGCTCCTGATCTCTGGTGCTCAAAGACGAAGTCTAGATTTGTTTTTAGACATCCCGGGGTCACAAGTTGAGGTGTGGGGTCAGCTAGTGAACAGATGCTCTCATAAATGAATCTGCTGCTGTTGGTTAGTGATCCTAGCTATAAAAGCAGAGAATATCTTCATATAATAATAAACGCCTGAAACTCACGTCTGATATTCAGATAGAAAATCTGAACAAGTGCTAGTTGTAGGAGAACTGAGCCCACACCCCTCCTCTGACCTTATTAACCCACGTGACACTTGCATAGGGATAATCCCGGCATGTCAGTTCAAGCCTAAAATGCAGCACCTGCTGCCAACATGATGATTATCCTTTTCCCTATCTGAGCCTCGGAGAGATAATCCTCACTGCAGGTTCACTGAAGATGATGTGATGTCTCAAAAAGCAGCCTGTGGTTTGTTTTCCTGTCACAGCTTCAGTCTCATCTAATCGGACAAATACTGCATCCAGCTGGGTGTCGGCAACACTGTAAAATTAAAATGTGTACACGACGGACAAAAGCATACAAATATGTGTAGGGAATTAATACACCACTACACTTCCATTTAAGGAAGGTTGTGTTGTCTGGTCTCACCCTTCTCTGACCCCGTAAAGGATGAGAAGTTCCTCAGTAGAGCTGTGGAGTTTTCCCGGTTCTTGGATGCATTCATAAATTTGTATGTTAACTGTGCGTCCTTGCAGAAATGATAAATAACAGAGTGCGGCCTACACAATTACAATAAACTATCGTAAATGAGTTATTTTTCTCATCATAGTGTCCATTTTCATTTACAGTAAACATGGAGACATGAACAAGTTTCAGAATAGTATGCATTCATTATATGAAAAGCATGCTGTTTGTAATATAAACCTCACAAAATCAGAATACTTTGCTACATCCAATAATATTAGAATTACAGGAAAACAACTTTTCTGACTGATGAGCTAAGAATTAACAAAACGCTGCCAATGACCTCAGAGTCTCAGAAGAGATTCATAGGTGTTGCTTTTACAGCTAAAGAGAAAAGAACGAGTGTTTAGAAAGCAGCTGGACCTCAAAGCTGTAATACAACCTCTCATTAGAAACTGTAACAACTATCTTACTCTCTAAAACAAAATAAAGTCTGTGAAAAGAACTCAAATGCAGTAGAAAATAAGATTGTTTTATCTCAACATTTAACAGAAACATTAAAAAATGTACAGATCAAACAGTGATATATTAGTGCTCTGATGTACAGTATATATGTGACCAGGTATTAGTGCTACTTCTACAGCATCACACAAGAAGATGAAGAAAACAAGCAGAAAAACAAAAAGATGCAGAAAAAGAAGATGATGAACAACAAGAACAACAAGAAGAAAGAAAAACTAGAACAACAACAACAAAAGAAAAACAAGAAAGAAGAGAGAAGAAGAAAAACAAGAAGATTTTTAGATTTTTAACAAAGCTTTATTTACACAATAAGTTAACACAACAGTGTTTAAAAAATGTGATCAGGACAAGCTTAAAATTAAATATTTGCATGTATTGTAGTTCTCCTGATCAGAAATAGCGCATAAAATCTTCTTAAATCTTCAGTTTCACAAAATTCTCCAAGTGTCCAGTGTCTCTGTGGAAGCAAAACTCCAGCGTCAGTCTGGCCTTGAAGCTGCATTTCCACCACGGCATCAAGTTGAGGTCCAGCCTGCAGTTTGTCCCTGCGAGACAACAGACATTTTTGTTTCGTCCACTAAAAAGTTTAAAGTTTGGGATTTCAACTTTGTGGCTTTGCTGTAATGTACTCTATTAATAAAAACAGATTTGGTGAAAGCTGTTCAAAAAAGCTAAAGATCCTCGTCATTAGATCAAACGGAGCCGTCATCCATACCCAATCTGTAAAAAAATGAAAAACACTCTCAGACAAACTGCAAAAAGGAGACTCGTTTAAAACCTCAGGATTGATGACCGACAAAAAAAAGAGTTTGTTGCAATGGCGCCATGAAGGATCCTCCATTGAAGTTCACCAGTCCGTTTTTTTTTTGTGGAGGTTTGTAAAGAGCCCTCCACTGGGGCTTCTGACCTCCGAGCTTGTCATCCCACATGCTGACAGCTCTGTTTTGCAGAGTTCTCCTGTTCAGGATCGTAACATAAGTCTTATAAAGTATTTTGGACCTATTCTGCACAAGTCTATCTTTGGGTCTGTGTTGCGTAACAGAGGACCACTGTCTTTCGCAAAGTTAGGATCCAGGTGGATGCCCGGGAAAGGGTCCATTGGGTCAGGCGGGTGATTCCCCGTGGACCACAGCTGCAGGAGACGCTTCTCTCCGGCTGCCATTCCCTCCTTCACCAGGTCCAGGAAGTGCTGCACCAGTCTGGCAGACGCCCAAGCAACGAAACTTCTCGGACGCTGGAGAAGTCTGGTCCGGCCGTCTCCACCAACCGCCTCAGGGTCACCGTCCCAAATTCGCACAGTACACAAGAACAAGAAGAGCAAGAAGAAGGTGCTGTGTGTTGTCATCATTGTATGGGCAGATACAATAACGAAATTAGTTCTCAATCCCATCACACCTGAGATACACCCAGGTGGAGCAGTGGGCAGCTACGCAAGCACCCGGGGAGTAGTTGGGGATTAGGTGTCTTGTTCAAGGACACCACGACATGTGGCAGTGGGGAGGGGGTTTGAATCTGTGACTTTCTGGTCCCAAGTTGGTTGCCCTATCTCTACACCACAGCGGCCCCACTTTACTAGTTTTCCCGAAAAACCTGTAACAGGTTGACGAGAGGCAGAGAGAAGCAGCTCACCTGTAACTCACCTGGAGCTCATAATAGTGTCACGCACTTCAGAAAGTACATATACTAAGATTTACACGTGTATGGCTACTGAGGTGTTTCACTCAATATATCAGGATATAACCAAAAGTCTAATTTTTAAAGAACTAAATTTAATAAAGATGTATCTAAATATTACTGGAGGCATTGGCTGTGGTAATAACGCGAGGATGCAACATCTTGAGATGCACTGAATGGTTGGAACTCAACAACCGGATCACAGGGTTAGCTAACATTCAACGCTGAAATCATAACCATGCAGCTCACAGAATCACCCAAAAGATACTGCAACATCTGACTTTAGAGATGATCTTTTTCTATGCCTAGATGCAGCCACACACCAAGAAGTCAGTACCCCACTGATTTTCAAGTTGTGTTTGGACAGATTGACGGACAGTATTTCCAATTCTCCTGGACAAGCTGGACAAATTCACCAACCCCACTCTAGGTTGTTGATAGTTTTGAGACAGAGGAAACAACATGAAGTTCTCTGTTCAAGGTTGTTTGCAGCGTTGCAGTTTCTTCAGCACATGTAGGAGCAGAAGTATTTGTTTGTGTTACAGAGTTTAGAGAGATTTGCTGAGCAGACAGAAGTTAAAAAGGCTAGGAGCAAAGAAAGGCACAGGACTGAGATGTTAAACCTGCATGCTGCGCCAAAATGCAAACAGCATATGCAAGGGAGCTCCCAAACACTCTTGAAGGGTCCTGCATTAGTCGCACGGCTGTGCATTTGTGCTGCTTAAACTTTGAGCACATTCAAATAATTTTACAAAACAAATTTCTCTCTATACGGTTGCAGATTTGTTGCGGGCGTCTCAAACCCCTTTCCATTTAGTTCACAGAATCCCAGCTGTATTTTTTACGAGTTGCAGAATCTGTTCAAAAATGTTTGTACTGGTATTTGTAAGTGGACACTTAGAGATGTACCGATCCGATACCGATATAAACTGAATATATAAAAATTGAGGCCAGACATGCATATTTCTTCTAAAAATCAAGAAAGTAAAAAATTTACCAAAACGTAACACAACGTCCCTGTCAGATAATCCAATTTAGTCTCTTTAAATGACTAAAGTGAGTAAAAACAGTGTTCAGTATCTGTAAACATGATGCTCAACATGAACGTCATTCTAAAGAGCAGTTTCTCTGCTAACGAGTGAGATGAATTTTGAATGAAAAGTTCAAGTTTTTACCCCCCCCCCCCCCCCAATCATTAAATGAAGTAACGCACCTGCTTGAGTTGCCTAATGAGGCTGCTGTTCTCCAGGTGAGCCTTGAAGGCCTGGATGGTGGCGGCACCATCAGAGAAGCGTCTGACAGGAGAGAAGCGCTCCATGGGGAGGTGGAGGGTGTTACAGTCCTTATAGCTTGATCTGAAAGGGTGGGGGCACAGGAAGCAAACACAAACAAGTGTGCACACATATACACACACACACACACAAAATAAAAATAAAAATAAAAAACAGCCACAATGACACACGCACACACACACACAAATGAGAGACACAAACAGATGTGTGAACTTTTCAAACCTGCACAAAAGGGTCAAGTATGTTGACAATAATCCAGTAAATAATCACAAATTACTTAAAAAGTCACGCAACAGATAAATAAAATGCTTCATCTTGCAAGTCACGCCTGGATATTATCCGATGTAAACACAAGCTCTTGTAGGGCTAACAGTTTGTTTGACAGCAAGATTTTCCATGAGCAGACACATCTGCACATTAACTCAAATGCACAAATTAGTAAAAGGCAAACCTACATGTTTAAGTGCCTAGTGAACATTTAGTTTTAGACTGACCTGAGTAACGCATCCAATAAACCTCAGTTTGAACAAGTTTCAGCCTGTCTGGTTTCATAAACCCCAAACATCTAATCAAAAAAATTACACAAATCTTGAGCAAAACTGAAGCAGAGGACATAGATGTTTGCATAAAACAGCTAGAATGACTAAACACTAGTAGTGCCAGATACCAGCCTCAGGTACTTGTACTCATAAAAACACCCTGATACTTCAGACGGATACCACTTTTATGCTTAGTGATGTCATTTCCTACACTTTGCGAGTAACCAAGGAGAAAAACAAAAAAAGTCTGTAGTTTGGACTTCCTTTTTATGTAGATTAATACAGGTAATTTTAAGAGTGCAAACTGTTTGTCGTGTTCTTATTGAATGCATTTCTAAAGTCAATGAGTACCACATCGTTAAATCCTCTACAGTGGTGTTGAAAGTTTGTGAACCTTTTAGAATTTTGTATATTTCTGTATAAAATTAGATAAAGAGAACCCAGTTAAACAAACAAGACAAAAATATTACACTTGGTCATTTATTTATTGGGGAAAATGATCCAATATTACATATTTTTGAGAAAGTATGTGAACCTTTGCTTTCAGTATCTGGTGTGACCGGACCCCAAGCAACGAATGATGGCAAGCTGTCCTGGTCCAGATGCAGAAAACAACCCCAAACCATGATACTACCACCACCATGATTCACAGATGGGAGAAGGTTCTAATGCAGAATGCAGTGTTTCCTTTCTCCAAACATCCATCCATTACCGTTTACCCACTTCTTTCTTTTTGTGTCACGAGGGTCACTCACTGGGTGAGAGGAGGGACACCATGGACAGGTCTGCAGTCCATCACAGGGAGAACGAAAGACAAACGAGACAAACAACCAGTCACTCTTTCACTCACACCTAGAGACAATTTAGTTACCAATCAGCCTAACATGCATGTTTTTGGTCTGTGGGAGAAAACCCACACGTGTATGGAGAGAACATGCAAACTCCACCCAGACTAAGATTTGAACCAGGGTAACCTGCTCGCTGAGAGGCAGCAGCTCTACCAGTTGTGCCACTGTGCTGCCCTAAATATGTAATATTGGATCATTTTCCTCATTAAATAAATGACCAAGTATAAAATTTTTGTCTCATTTGTTTAACTGGGTTCTCTTTATCTACTTTTAGTTGTGGGAAAATCTGATGATATTTTAGGTCATATTTATGCAGAAATATAGAAAACTCTAAGGCTTCACAAACTTTCAAGCACCACTGTACAGGTCCTTCTCAAAAAATTAGCATATTGTGATAAAGGTCATTATTTTCCATAATGTAATGATAAAAATGAAACTTTCATATATTTCAGATTCATTGCACACCAACTGAAATATTTCAGGTCTTTAATTGTTTTAATACTGATGATTATGGCATACAGCTCATGAAAACCCAAAATGCCTGTCCCAAAAAATTAGCATATCATGAAAAGGTTGTCTAAACAAGCTATTAACCTAACCATCTGAATCAACGACGTAACTCTAAACACCTGCAAAAGATTCCTGAGGCTTTTAAAAACTCCCAGCCTTGTTCATTACTCAAAACCGCAATCATGGGTAAGACTGCCGACCTGACAGCTGTCCAGAAGTCCATCATTGACACCCTCAAGCAAGAGGGTAAGACACAGAAAGAAATTGCTGAACGAATAGGCTGTTCCCAGAGTGCTGTATCAAGGCACCTCAGTGGGAAGTCTGTGGGAAGGGAAAAGTGTGGCAGAAAACGCTGCACAATGAGAAGAGGTGACCGGACCCTGAGGAGGATTGTGGAGAAGGGCCGATTCCAGAGCCACCGTGCACAGGCGTGTGCAGGAAACGGGCTACAGGTGCCGCATTCCCCAGGTCAAGCCACTCTTGAACCAGAAACAGCAGCAGAAGCGCCTGACCTGGGCTACAGAGAAGCAGCATTGGACTGTTGCTCAGTGGTCCAAAGTACTTTTTTCAGATGAAAGCAAATTTTGCATGTCATCCAGAAATCAAGGTGCCAGAGTCTGGAGGAAGACTGGGGAGAAGGAAATGCCAAAATGCCAGAGGTCCAGTGTGAAGCACCCTCAGTCAGTGATGGTCTGGGGGGCCATGTCAGCTGCTGGTGTTGGTCCACGGTGTTTTATCAAGGGCAGGGTCAATGCAGCTAGCTATCAGGAGATTTTGGAGCACTTCATGCTTCCATCTGCTGAAAATATTTATGGAGATGAAGATTTCATTTTTCAGCACGACCTGGCACCTGCTCACAGTGCCAAAACCACTGGTAAATGGTTTACTGACCATGGTATTACTGTGCTCAATTGGCCTGCCAACTCTCCTGACCTGAACCTCATAGAGAACCTGTGGGATATTGTGAAGAGAAAGTTGAGAGACGCAAGACCCAACACTCTGGATGAGCTTAAGGCTGCTATCAAAGCATCCTGGGCCTCCATAACACCTCAGCAGTGCCACAGGCTGATTGCCTCCATGCCTCGCCGCATTGAAGCAGTCATTCATGCAAAAGGATTCCCGACCAAGTATTGAGTGCATAACTGAACATGATTATTTGAAGGTTGGTGTTTTTTGTATTAAAAACACTTGTCTTTCATTGGTGGGATGAAATATGCTAATTTTTTGGGACAGGCATTTTGGGTTTTCATGAGCTGTATGCCATAATCATCAGTATTAAAACAATTAAAGACCTGAAATATTTCAGTTGGTGTGCAATGAATCTGAAATATATGAAAGTTTCATTTTTATTATTACATTATGGAAAATAATGACCTTTATCACAATATGCTAATTTTTTTAGAAGGACCTGTATATCGATACTCAGCTGGCGTTTTGCCACAGTCTCAACTCTTATCGGTTCTGCACCAGTTAAGGGCCTGCCCACTGCTGGTACCCATCCCCACTCAGCCCGGTTTATGGAACCACCATGTTTGTGGTTCCAAGGGGACGGCTCCGAGGCGACGATTTTGACAGCAGCCATTGACTTGTCAGTGGAGCTACGTTACTGGATGACCCACCCAGCAAAACTGCAAACTACATCTGGACCTCCGTTTCTTCTCTGATCGTGCCGAGCGTGTGTTTTTGCTAGTTTCTGTTAAGGAAACTCCAAAAATAGTGCCATGGACCAAGGATGAAGTACAGACCTTCTTAACTTTATTGGCTGTAACCACTGGCGGTGGTATTTGGTATACTTTGTAATGATGATACCGCCCACAGAGCAGGGAAACAAGTTACAGTGCCAAATCACCTACACCTGATAAAAACTGATGACGAGAGCTGAGTGGAGTCACACAAATCAATGGCAAAGCAGCTAACATTGGCAAGCACCTAAACTGAAAAACATAAAAACTAGTATCGAGACACGCCAGAGAACACATCGAATGTGTTTCTTGCTTGACAGGAAACACACAGTGGTCATTTAGCTGTGATGCACTGCAGAGATTTAATAATCACAGATATTATGCAGTTAAAACTACATTTGCCTTGTATTTTTTTTTTTTTAAACAAAAGCACACGTTATTTTTGTTTCATTAATGTGGGAAATAATGTGAAATACTGTCATACTTCAACTTTGAGGGTCAAATTATACAACTGTTTCTATAATGACTGAAAGGTAAAAATAATGAATTTTTAATTTTTGTTTTAAAAGCTAAATTATTAAAAGGTATAGTTCAGATCTTTTGAAGGTACTACAAAATGGTTATGAACAATTATCTTACCTGTTGTAAATAACTCTCTGATCAACCCAATTTGGAGAATCGGAGTTAAATATTGTCAATAAACCACTAGTCAAAACAAGGCAAAGACCAAAATTGATTTCTGCTTTCTTAAAACACATTGCTGTCAATTTTGCGTTACACAGACATTTACATGGAAATTCCAAAGCCCCAACAGCAGCTAGCTGTAGCACTTCCAGTGTAGTCAGGAGCAGTTTTTATAGTGATAATATATTTGCTCAAATAAACATGTAATGCAAAATTAACAGTAACGTAAAGTTTTATTTAAAACTTTCTCATAAACCACTATTATTCATTTTGGTCCTGGCCCTGCTAGAACTAACCAGCAAAAATGAGCAATTTCTACAAACTGAGGTCAATCAAAGAACGATCTGCAGCAGGTAAAATATTAACTGTTCATAACCTTTTCACAGAACCCCACTTCAAAAGATCTAAACTATCCCTTTAAGTGTATGATGCAGTTTGTAAATGTATGGAAAGAGGAAATTTAAGGATTAAAGATTATTTAAAAAATATATTATATCAGTTTCTTCTTAGAGATTTTCTGACTTCAGATTTTACTCAGTTTACTTAATTTAAGAAGTAAATCTGTCACTTACCTGGTCAACCCAAGTGAAGGAGAAGTTTTTAAATAATGGTTTACTGGTTATTTAAAACTTTTCAATGGTGCAAATTTTAATTAATTCTGACAAAACAACCCCACCTCTTTGGAAGGTACACAACCGTCACCTGGTGCTTCATCAGCCATGTGTGTGTTTGTGTGTGTGTATATACAGCTCAGAGTGGGAGAGTCCCCTCACCGGGTGTGTGTGTCAGGAGCCCAGCCGCCCCTCTGGCGGGGGCCCTGGGACCGCTGTGACTCTGTCGAAGGCTCGCCATGCGATGTGCTTGTAAGCACGTGCGTCGTGTGCCGCTTGGAGCGGTTCGCCAGGTACCTGAGCCGCAGGAAGGGGGGAGGACGGGGTGAGGGTGGGAGACAGGAAGCAGCGCTGGTCAGCTCTCTGTCTTCATTGGCTAATGGGGCTGGGGGGAAAAGAGCCACCCCTTCCCACCTCTGCCAATAGGTGCCATCATTCATGTCATCTTAGCCAATCAGAAAGCATCAAGTCAAGAGACACCACAGATTGAACATCATAGCTCATGGGACTCCGACAACCGCCCAGCTTCCAGTTTAAGGATTGGGCCAGTTGCTGTTTTTGTCGTCACTGGTTTGGCAAGCTTCAGAGTTAGCAAAGCTGTGTGAGAAAGGGTGAAGAAAGTTCACAGAATAATTTGGCACTTGCTGAAATGAGATAGATAAAGCAGCTCGGGGGTCAGAGAGTTTGAGAGAACTGATGGCAGAATCGGTCTGGAATGGTGGCAGAAGGCACTTGCGCGATGGAGAAAGGAGAAAAGATGGGATAAGCACCACAGCACAGTGGCCACCTCCCGAGGGGGGAAAAAAAGCAGAGCAGCTTAGAGGCAGTCACTCCCAGCAACCCAGGACACCGGCGAAGTCTAGAGAACATGCTGTCTGAAGAGGACTGCCTGAAAGCCCAGAGCTGGACTTTTATCACATGATCTTCCACAGTTCAATCCAACAACTTAGATGTTTTTTAATATTTTTTATGTGCATGTGTATAAATCTTGCATGATACTGGTGTAAGCCTGTTTTCTTTAGTTTTGTACTTTTTTCAGCTATTGTGAAATCTGTACACCACACTCTGACCTGCTGCGATATCTGTTGTCAGCAGCTGTTTCCTGTTCAGACAGCACCTCTACAACCAGTAACCAACCACCACAGACCCGTCACCATCCGTTACCTCTGCACTGCCTCCTGGTCCGGCTCTCCGTCTGAACCCTCCTCGTCAACCGGAGCTACGGCGGGGATTGGATGCTGAGAGGCAAAGAGTTTACTCGTCATGGTTCGTTCAGCACACAGGCGGGAAATAAATAAAGGAAGGAGATCCAGACCCTCACCGGGCTGGCAACAAGTGGCGAGGGCCCTCGAGGTCTCTTCAGGAGCTGAGCGTGGAGCTGAATGTTGGCCCCGCCGTCGGAAGCTCTTCGACCCAAGGGGCCCATGCCGTTCAGGAGCTGCAGTGTGGGCGGCTGCAGCAGCGATTGTTCCTGCAGCATCAGCAGTCCCAGCAAGGCAGGTGAAAATTAAAAAATAACAATAAATCAAAGAGGTGCCTGCAGGGGAAAGTTTAACGGACTCTACCTTGTACTCCAGCTGCTGTGTCGGCTGCAGGCTCTGTGTGGGCATGAGGGTGTGCATTTGGCCCATAGTGGGGGCAAGCTGAGGGAAGGGGGTCTGGGGGATTACACCTCGAGGGAAACCTGGTGGAAGGTTCTGGAGTTCCTCCTGCATCTCTGTCCTGCGTTGGAAGCAGACAGTCATGTTTTAGTCATTTCTGTCTTCAACGCTCCAACTGTCCAAAGATGCAGACTGTGCTTCATGCAGAGCTTCACAGAAACTGTAAATGACGCTGCGCTCTGTTTCAGTGTTACCTTTGGTCTGGTACCCCCACAGTGTGCCGCCTCATCGACAGGTAGCGAGCCATGGCCTCAGGAGACGGCTCCTCGCCTTCATCACTGTCCAGGGCCATGTTGCCATCAGGCTTCACAACAATCACAAACACATAGTGGTTACTGGAGGTGCCCTTTCAACCAACGCAACAAAATCTACATTTTCAACATGTCACAGTTTAAATGACTTCTTTTCAGGGTCTTATCCCTGCTGCAATGCAGTAATCTGACACTCTCCTGTGTTTCAGTGCCTGTGAGTCAGGGCTTGTGTGTGTGCACGTGTGCAGAGTTTTATAAAACGACTAGAGGGCGCACTGGCCCCATGATCGTGTGATGCAGTGCAGGACCGGCAGCCATTACCAAAACAGGCAAATATCTGCACTTCGTGTGCCCTGAGTAACGGCTGACTATGTACAAAATGTCAAAATAATATAATGTATGTACAGTAGTCCCTCGCTACTTCGTGGTTTGACTTCTGTGGACTCGCTCTATCATGGTTTGTGGACATACAGTCCATAATATTATACAAAAAAATTGTACAGGACCCATGATTGTCAACTTTAATATTACTCACATGATTGGAACAGTACTGGATATAGTCCTGTACAGTAAAAAGTTAAGGAAAAAATAAAATACTTATATACTTAATAAAATACATGGTCCCTATCACCAGCGATAAACGAGGGACTACTGCAATATAATAATATAATATTAAAATGTATATAAAGTGTAAAAATGCCAGAAAGCTGTGTTTTACAGATGTAGCAACAGAAAACTTGTCTTCCTTCACAAGTCAACAGATTTGATCTTATTTACCTGCTGATCAGAACTGAAGTTAATAATGTCACCATTTAAAAGTATCTTATAAAGCTGAAGTAATGGCCGTTAGTTATTGAACTGGCTCGTAGATAATAACTTCTGTGGCAGATATTGCTCTGCTGCACAGGCTGACTCAAGCTACAGTTTAGTACGAATAATTAAATAGTACAAACTGGTATTTCCTCCAGTAACGGATCATTCTCTGCTCTCTGCATGAATTTTGAAAATATTATTTTTAAGTTTAGCTATAGATTAAACACTGATCACTGCAATCAGCTGCAGCTAGCAGAGCCTACATGAACACAATTCATTTAAAAATGTTAGTTTCAAATTCATCAACTAGTTGAGGTCATAATTATTAAACTAAAAACTCTTGAAATTGCATCATTAGTTAGACCCAACGTATTTCTCTTCTACAACATCTAGCTGATTAACATAATTGTTGTATAAAATAACATAAATTGTGAGTTAAATTAAGTTATTGTAAAGGTGTTAAAACTAATTTGTGACACAGATCCAGTTGGGCTTGCTCTTAATTCAACTGTTTTGTCGGCTGTGAACGGTTGTTCATTTTGGACGCCATCTTCATTTAAACCGTTTCAGTGGGTCAGTGGTAGGGTCGCAGTAGTCGTGGTTTTAGAGCTATTCTCATAAGAAGGATTACAACGTTAGATTTAAAACATATATATTTTTTGGAAGTATGCGATTATTTTAGGAGTGGAAATTATTGAAGCAACGATAACTAATATATTTGCAGAAAATCAGATATCAAAGGCTGCCATCATGGCCTCGGTGTTCTCATCAGTGCGCTCCATAATGGAGGTGTTTTATGGGAAAACACAGGAATTCATCAGATTGATACCATCTTAGCTTCTCCACGATGTCACTAACTTAAAGAATGGGCAGGAAGTGCAGTGCGTCCTCGAGTGGTTTACTTAATTTTGTTGTTGTTACTGATAATAAATAGCCTGGGATTAAAAAGAACATGAAGTGTATATAGTAGTAACATCATAATGTAGGACAGTGTAAACTGTTGTTCTTGTTTAACTTTTCAAGTTTAACGTAGTTTAGTGTTGAAGTCACAATTCAGAATTATGAATCTATGAATCTTGAGTTTTCTAGCTTGCTTTATAACCACAGTAAAAAGAACAAAAAAGAGACTCCTTCATTGACTCACCTCTACAATTTGGTTCTCTGGGTTGATAAGCTGGACATGGGGAACGGTCATGCTAACAGGATTACCTTGTGGGTCAGTCTGCTGGAGATGGACACACACACACACACAGGTTATGTGAGGCTTGCACAACTCGGATTACAATCTTCTTAGAGCAGCGAAACTGACAGATGTGGGTTAAAACCTCTCAATGTTTTCACTGGACAGATTTGAAAGTCCTCCTGTCTTCAGTTGAGATGTTTAGAGAAAAGACATCTTTTTACCTAAATCCAAAAACTACCAATATAAACATTTATGTACAAATTGTGGAGCTCCTATCAAACTACGCATAAAACGTACGTTCCCTTTATGATTAATTAAAATTTAGCACAACTGAGGGAACACCGTACCCTAACATACATCAGAACTGATGTTGAGACCGTACATTACCTGTACAGCATTGAGAGGATAGCTAATCGAGCGCGGTGTGGGCGGGGCAACGCGCAGCGTCTTGTGTTTCTTGAGGCGTTCAGTCAACAAACTGTAGATGGCGCTGTAGTGATCATACGCATCTGTTTGCAAAGACTGAAGAGAGGGAGGAGGAAAAGGGGGGAAACTAAATTTGCGCAGAAGAAATTTGACACAAGGCTGAGAAGTACAACCCAATGGCATCTGCATCCAACCTGAAGCGTGCGCTCTCGATCCAAGCCCATCTCCGACATGGCCATGAGCACCTGCTCGTTGATGAGTTCGATCTCTCTCTCCGTCTTCACCTGCTCACACTCTGCGATCAACTGGAAGGAAAGATGGGAAGGATAAACTTGAAGCTATAGGAGCAGATCTGAACAGGTCTTTCAGCTTTATAGTATGAATGCTAATTAAAAGAGCGAATTGATAAACACCAAAGCACTCTTGGCACGTTATCTTTGTTTCTGTGACAGTTTTTAAATTGTTACTTCTTGTGCAACTTTAAAAAAAAGAACGTACAAGGCCATGCAACAGCATCATACCAAAGGCAAGTGGACAAGACGAGGTAAGAAGGAACACTAAAGTTAGCTGTGCGCCAATCAACAGCCTGCTGACACCAATTCAGCAGCACGAGTCAGCCCACATGAATCTGACATAGCTCTAAACACAGATGTGCCCCCTCCCGTCGATTAAAAACCTCCCACAACGTAGAGGGCGGGCAACACAGACGTGACCCCCATCCCTGACGAGCGCCCTGCCAAGGGAACTCATCTAGGGGAAACACCAAAAAGTTTACTTTTGTTGTTGCTAAAAACTCATTTCCACAATGTTCAAACTTCTTATATACTGCAATTTTTGAACTATAAGGCGCACCAGATTATAGGTGCAATATCAATGAACAGGTCTGTTTCCATACATACGATGCACTGGATTATAAGGCGCATTAACCAAAACAAGTTCATTTTGACAGATTTTTGAGCGCCGTGTACCATGTGAAATCGGTTTGATGTCAGTAAGCACAACCAGAATTAATACATAGGCGCACTGGATTATAAGGCTCGCTGTCAAATTTTGAGAAAATTCAAAGATTTTAAATGTGCCTTATGGTCCGAAAAATACAGTAGTTTATAGATTTTTAAAAACCTGTCATTTTTGTATACAGTAGTCCCTTGATACTTCATGGTTCGACTTTTGTGGACTCACTGTCTCGAGGGTTTTCAAAGTAAGATTGTACACAACGAACGACTGTCAACTTTAATATTACACATGTGATTGGGATGGTACGAAATAAAAAGTTAACAGGAGCGGGAACCAACAAATAGGACAAAAAACAAAACAAAAAATAATACTTTGGACAGGCTCTGCCATTTTGAAGTTTTCTTTCAATAAGCCTATACTGTAACACAAGTAAAAAAAAAAACTACACGGCCCAGAAGCCAACAGTGCTTCCGGTTGCTGCTTTCTGCCAAAATTCAGAGAACTGCAATGGAGGGAGCAAACACTAGTGGAGAAACCGAGGGGATAAAAATAGATTTGCAACACAAAGTCAGAAGTAGCGATCTATCTATTAAGCTCACAGAACTGGCAGGAAAGTCACAAATAATCCTGAAGCTGAACTCATCCTTCAAGTTGTAGTTGCATCTTCACTGGTGAGTATCCATATAAAATTTTGCAGTACTGTATAGTACATATACATACAGCCAAAAGTATTCGCTCACCTGCCTTGACTCACATATGAGCTTAAGTGACATTCCATTCCTAATCCATAGGGTTCAATATGACGTTGGTCCACCCTTAGCAGCTAGAACAGCTTCAGCTCTTGTGGGAAGGCTGTCCACAAGGTTTAGGAGTGCTTATGGGGATTTTTGACCATTCTTCCAGAAGCACATTTGTGAGGTCACATACTGATGTTGGACAAGAAGGCCTGGCTCTCAGTCTCCGCTCTAATTCATCCCAAAGGTGTTCCATCGGGTTGAGGTCAAGACTCTGTGCAGGCCAGTCAAGTTCATCCACACCAGACTCTGCCATCCATGTCTTTATGGACCTTGCTTTGTGCACTGGTGCACAGTCACGTTGGAAGAGGAAGGGGCCTGCTCCAAACTGTTCCCACAAAATTGGGAGCATGGAATTGTCCAAAATGTCTTGGTATGCTGAAGCAGTCAGAGTTCCTTTCACTGGAACTAATGGGCCAAGCCCAACTCCTGAAAATCAACCCCACACCTTAATCACCCCTCCACCAAACTTTACACTTGGCACAATGCAGTCAGACAAGTACCGTTCTCTTGGCAAACGCCAAACCCAGACTCATCCATCAGATTGCCAGATGGAGAAGTGCGATTCATCACTCCAGAGAACAGCTCTAGAGTCCAGTGGTGGCGTGCTTTACACCACTGCATCAGACGCTTTGCATTGCACTTGGTGATGCATGGCTTGGATGCAGCTGCTCGACCATGGAAACCCATTTCATGAAGTTCTCTGTGCACCGTTCTTGAGATAATCTGAAGGCCACATGAAGTCTGGAGGTTTGTAGTGATTGACTCTGCAGAAAGTTGGCAACCTCTTCGCACTATGCGCTTCTGCATCCGCTGACCCCGCTTCGTCAGTTTACGTGGCCTACCACTTGGTGGCTGAGTTGCTGTCGTTCCCAAACACTTCCATTTTCTTATACTACAGATGACTGTTGACTGTGGAATATTTAGGAGCAAGGAAATTTCACAACTGGATTTGTTGCATAGGTGGCATCCTATCAGTTCCATGCTGGAATTCACTGAGCTCCCGAGAGCGACCCATTCTTTCACAAATGTTTGTAAAAAACCATTCTCCATGCCTAGGTGCTTCATTTTATACACCTGTGGCCATAGAAGTGATTGGAACACCTGATTACGATAACTTGGTTAGGTGAGCAAATAGTTTTGGCAATGTAGTGTGTGTTGTTAAAATTACGTAGGTTTAAGAGTTTAGCACATTGTTAAGAACATTGCAAGTGTGTGGGAAGGGTTTATAAAGTCTTAAAATATATAAAAATACTAAAATAAATATAATGACCCTACTTCGCTGATTTTCACCTATCATGTGGGTGTCTGGAACGTAACCCCCGCGATAAGTGTGGAGAAAAATTCTGAGCTCTGACACAATGGATGTCCGTAAGAGTTTGGATGTTCAGTCTTAACAGGGGAGATTTGAGAGAAAATTGTTTTTTAGCACTAAGGAAAATTTGGTATCGATCAATACCAAATAAATACAGGTCCAGTATCGCCGATACTGATACGATACCTTTAAATAATTGCGGTGAATTTTGATGACAAGTGTTTTGTGATTTTTCCTTTGGATCATTTATTAGTTAAAACCCAGGATAGAATTAGGCAAAGTATATAAGTAAATTAAAAAATACTTTATTATAATAAAAGTTTTTTTTTCTGAAAAGATAGAACGGTAACAAAACTTTTCCCCATACCTTGTGATGGATGGATTTTTTTCCTTAAAGTGCACAAAATGATCACTCAAGAATAAATTAAAACATTGTGTTCAGAAACTCTGATAATTAAATAAAAATTATTCCTTCATTGCACTCCTTTTCTGGATTTTTTTTCTTAAATAAACAACCTACAAAGTTATCACACTGCAACAAATGTTGTAAAACAGTAAAATATATTTAGGATATAAAGGAATAAAACAAAATTTCTCCTCTTTAGCTAATTTCTTTTTTGGGTTTGAAAAAAATAATTACAAATCAAAAAAATTATTGAAAATACAATAAATAAAGTGTAAATAACAAAACAACCTCTGAAGCCTTAAGTTCAAAGAAATATTCCCAGCAGCCTCTCTGTGGGCCCTGCCTGCCTTTACAAAGTTGCTCTGTGCTGTGACGGGAGTGGGACTTGGACAGTCAGCTCGCGCCTTTGACAAAACCGCAGCAGTGCGTACAGTAGAGAAACTGAAGCTAAAGTATCGATGTCATCACGCTTGTATTGATCAACATCAATAACCATGTTGGTATCGATATTAATCGATGTTTGGATCGATCCACCCACCCCTAGCAGGGATGCAAGTACTGCAGTCCCTCACTGCTAGAAGTGGAGTATCTTTTTAACTTCTCTTTAACAAAAAACGGTGTTCAAACATAGAAATTAGCGTGTGACGACCAGAAGCTTTGGCCAGTTATGGTTCAGGAACCTTTTCAATGAGACCCTTAATAAGAGGGAAAATTAAAGAAATAGGGAATAGGAATACTAGGAACAATATATGTTCCTACAATAGGAACAATTGGGGAAATAGTCCGTCACTGTCTGGCAGAAACAGACATGTGTGGCTGCCATGGTGACCCTAATGAGCCACCGGCAGAACCTGGTTCTCGTTACTCTTCTTGTCCAGTTTACACATCAAAACACCAGTATTTTGTCCCATTAGAAAAGCAAATTCCAAGTTACTATCAAGCTTTTGAGAAGAAAGTTGCTGTATGCTGAATTCATAAGAAATATTTGATTTTTTTACAGAATTAAAAAATATATATATCATAAAACACAACTGATTTAAGTAAAACAAACAAACAAAAAAACCTGCTTGTAAAAACACACACACACAAAGTCAGACAATAGGTGTGAAGTTTTGCTGTGTGTTTTAAAGGTCTCACCCTGTCAAACTCTGGGTCTGGGTCTCCTAGCCTCATCCACTTGTTCTTACAGATCTGCTCCATGGTCAGCCGCCTGCTGGGCTCCAGAACTAACATGTGTCTAATTAGATACTCACAGTCTGCAATAACACAAAAACACACCAGTCATTCTAATAGAAGATCACATCTCGAACCAAAATACACACCTTATTGTGCATTAGTGCAGAATAAAAATAAAATAAAATGACTAAGCTTTGACTCGTCGAGTTTTTAGAAACATTTAGTGATCAAAAGTTAAAGGAACATCACCATCAGTGAGTCAAAGAGAACACAGACACAAAATTTTATGTAGGCTACTACTAAGATTTTTAGACATGTAAAAAGGTTTTGGATGTTTTCTTCAGACCTTGTATTTTTGCTGGAGTTTTGTTGGATTTTGTCAGAAAGTATTAAAAGTGGAATTTTTTTTAATTTTACAAACTTGTTAAAATTGTTTGTGGCCCAGTTGGTAGAGCTGTTGCCTCTCAGTGAGAAGGTCAATGAATCAAATCCCAGTTCAGGACCTTTCTGCGTGGAGTTTGCATGTTCTCTCCATGCATGCGTGGGTTTTCTCCGGGTACTCCGGTTTCTTCTCACAGACCAAAAACATTCATGTTAGGCTGATTGGTAACTCTAAATTGTCCCTAGGTGAGAGAGAGAGAGTGAATGGTTGTTTGTCTCTATGGCAGCAGAGATCATACCTCTCCAGTTTTAGCTTATCTCCATTGGCTCCCTGTTAAATTCAGAATAGAATTCAAAATCTTACTTCTAACCTACAAAGCTCTCAACAACCTAGCTCCATCTTACATTACAGATATTGTTGTTCCACATTTTCCTAACAGAGCACTTCGCTCTCAAACTGCAGGCTTACTTGTGGTTCCCAGAGTTTCCAAAAGCAGAATGGGAGGAAGATCTTCCAGTTATCAGGCTCCTCTCTTGTGGAACCAACGTCCAGTTTTTGTCCATAAGGCTGACACATTGTCCAGTTTTAAGACTGGGCTTAATACTTTCCTTTTTGATAAATCCTATAGTTAGATTGATTTCCTGACCTATTCCTTATCCTATGCTGCTATAACCTTAGACTACTGGAGGACAAATTGACCTCATTTAATCAAATGAACAGTTATAAAAACAGTAGTCCCTCATTTATCGCAGGGGATCTGTACCCTGAAGACCCGCGATAAGTGAAAAACCGCAAAGTAGGAATAGTAGTACAAGTAGTAAGTAGTAGTTTATTATAT